CCTGGGGCCCCCGTGGGTGCCAAATGCTGAGGTCCCTTGGTTATGTCTTTGAAAACCTTGCCCTCAAGTCCCTGCTCTGGGCCTGCGACGGGAGGGGCAGCGTCAAAGGTCTCTGAAATGCCTTCCAGAGCTTGCTGTATAGCATCTGGCTCTCTTATATCCATACTAACCTGTTTAGCAAAGGGTTGCTTTGGCCACACCCTTGGTTTGCTCTCCTAAACACTCCCTTTTACTCTGTACACAGCCAGGCTGCAAATTTCTCAAATCTTTTCATTCTGTTTCCCTTTTAATGATAAATTCAGTCTTTGGATAATTGCTCTATGCTCACATGTTACTCTTACTTATGCAGTTCCACCTTCCAGAAATCCCTTGAGCATGGACATAATTCAGCCAAGTTCTTTGCCACCTTGTAGCAAGGATGGCATTTACTCCAGTGTCCAATACCTCGTTCCTCATTGCCTTCTGAGCCCTCACTAGAATTGCCTTTAATGTTCTCTCTTCAAGAAAATGTAGGCTTTTGCTAGCCTGCTCCTCCAAATTCTTCCAGCCTCTACCCATCACCCAGTTCCAAAGCCACTTCTACATTTTCAGCTATTTGTTACTACAGCAGCCCCACTTCTCAGTACCAATTTTCTGCCTTAGCCCATTTTGTGGTGGCGTTATGACAGAATACTATAGACTGGATAATTTATAAATACAATAAATTTATTTCTCACAGTTCTGGAGGCTGGAAAGTCCAGTATTAATTAAGTTGCTAGCATCTGGTGAGGGCCTTCTTTGCTGCATTATCCCATGGTAGAAGGAAGAAGGGCAAGACAGCAAGTGCATGGGAGAGATTGAACTTGCAGTCTCTTCTTTGAACTTGCAGCCTCTTTTTAATCAGCATTAATCCATTCACGAAGGTGGAACCCACTTAACCTAAATCTCTCCTTTTAGGCCCCACCTCCCAACATTGTTGCATTGAAGATTAAATTTGCAACATACGCTTTTTGAGGGACCCTTTCTAACCATAGCAGTGTGTGTGGTGGAAAGAGCAAAAACTTCGGGACGCAGTGTTACAGTCTTGCTGGGGTCATTGCCCGCTGCTCAATAGGAAGCCAGTACACTGAGACAGCAGGCATTATAACAAAGAAAGCGTTTAATATCACCGGTGCCATGGGAGGAGAGAGGAGAAAGTTCTCAAATCCATCTCCCCTGGAATTTTGGAGAAAGGACTTTTAAAGATAGTTTGGTGGGCAAGGGACTAGGCAATTGGGTCTGCTAATTGGCTGGGTTCAGGGTGCAATCATAGGAGTGTAGAAATTGTCTTCTTGTACTGAGTCAGTTCCTGGGTGGGTTTGGCAAGACCAGTTGAGTCAGTTCCTTGGTACAGGCCACTGATCTGGGTGGGTCAGCAGGAATGCAGGACCTGGAAGATCTCTCAGAAACTAGCCTTGGGTTTCACAAGGGTGATGTAATCTATGGGAGCAATGCAAACAGCTAAGAATCTTTATGACCATCAGCTATATGAATACTGAGTAGTAAGCAATTATAGGAAAGCACACTAGGGAACAATGGCTGGTAATATATATTTTTCCTACCACAGTTGCCACCTTGTAGCCCCTTATTAATTTTATGAAGGGTTGTTTCCCAGTAAGTTGAATTTAGCTACATATTGGGCAAGTCATGATATTTCTGTAAGCTTTGGTTTCTTATTAATAAATGGTAAAACTGACATACTAATATTTAATTCAGAAGATTATTTTGAGAAGTTTGAGATACTACATGTAAGGACATGGTACACTGCTGAGAACTTAGGGCATAAAATAATAGTTATCATTATCATTTTGTTGTCTATAATAAAGAGTCAAGAATGTGTAGCAGAAAAACTCACTTAGCTCAAGACTTCAATTCTCCCTATTACATTTTATGGAATCTCAGACTAGTCCTTTTTTTCCTTTGTGCTTCTTCTTTGTTTTTTGTTTTTGTTTTTGTTTTTTTTAGCATGTAACATAAATATAATAACACAATCGAAGTCTTCGGTTAGTTGCTATGATTACATAAGAGAATTCAGGTAGAAACATACAGCATAGTTTCTGGCACATAGGCTGCTCAATAAATGTATTTGAATCTAAATTTAAAGTATATACCTCATCCACATTTTAAGTATTAGTGTCCTTTTTCAGCCACAGACATGACAACCTTGAGTTAGATATGTTTCTGATTTTACATTTTTCAAATAATTTGGTCCTAAAGAAGTTATTCATTTTTCTATAAGTGTGTGCTAAAAGTCAGGTACTTAAAAAAAAAAAACAAAAACCTGGCTCTGTGTATGAGCCTTATATCTTTATGCTAGTTAATAAAGAGGCCAGGAATGTTCTGCAGGTTTCAGAAATCTGGCTGCTGTTTCTTTAACTCTGAAACTTAGACAGAAGACTTCTGTTTCTTTATGAGCACACTACAGTGAATATTTTGTCTAGCTGCAGGGGAAAAGCTTTGTCATGGACTTTGCAGACAATAGCCTTAAAAGTAAAATGGTCTGCTTTTGGTGCCTGGAGGTTCAGGGGCCTATTGTTAGTGCACAATGGATTTCTATTGCTGCATTCCTGCTTTGCAAAGGTTTGTTAGCTTTTAATGACTGACAGTACTCTATTGCAAATACCATATTGGCTGTGCCCTGTTTACATGCTACTCAAGAATTTTTGTAGAGTGCTGGAAAAAAGAAACAGCGGTGTTTGTTTGACCTACTCTGATAAGGTTGAAGAAATAATTTCACTCACAAAGTCTTTACTTTAAAATACTTTGCAGAAGTATTTTAAAGTTACTTTTAAAGTCTCAATGAATAGAAATATTGATTACAGTATGAATATATTTCCTGTGTTTTATTGCCATTTCTATTTTTGAAACAATATGATACAGAAATAGGGATATTTTAAGAAAAAGTAGAATTAAATTCTTCAGACTCTTTTTGTCCTTAAATGCAAAAAATAGAGATACATATTTTGTTAAAAAGGAAAAACTGTATTCCACACATTCTATAGGTGAATTTGCACATAGTACTTGTGGCATGTGTATATATATTTGCAACATAGGTATAGACTATGTAAAAGAGTAATCATTCATAGCTTTTCACCATTGTATTGTCCACAAGTTTGTGACATCTGAGAAAGAACTCTTCCATATTGTTACCCTTTTTCAAAGGAAAATTGCACCTTGGCTTTGTTGAAAATTTCACAGAGGCTTTGCGACTCTGACAGTTGATGGCTATAAGACGGGACACTGTAAAAAGTAGATAGCATTAGCTAAAAGATGATGATGAAGACTCCTTAAAATGTATTTTACTGTGGGGAAAATTAACCAGTTTCTAATCATCTTACTGTCCCTAGGCCAGCCACCCCCTTTCATAAGTTAACATGTACTCCCTTTATGTGCCAGGTAGGGGGTAAGCAAAGCCCAGAATGCAAATACACATAAACACCAATGTAGAGAATTGTAGTGTATGTCTTCCGTCTAGATAATAAGTGTGGGTATTGTTATTTAGATGGGGCATACTGGGACACTTATCTTTTAGTACATTCCATTTTTTTAACTGAATGCAGTGCTAATCAAGGGATTGAAAGCCATTGTAATTGTGTATCCATCTAAATGTTGACAAGAATATACAAATTATATTGTTTGAAACTGAGTTTAATGTTTGGAAGTTTTTCTTAGCATTTGTATTTGCTTATACATTAAACTTCAACCCAGAAGGAAAAGTAAAAAACCATGTGATATATAGAAACGAATACCAGACTAAACCATAACCTTGTTCTCTAAAATGTGTGTGCTCTATCCAATACAGGGCTTTTGAAAAGAGTGTGATACAAATGTGAAATAAGTAAATGATAAGTTTCCACTGTAGACATTACTCACTTCTGTAGATTTTGCAATCGTTTTAAAGCTTCTTTCATGCTTTTTTTTTTTTTCAGTGTTCGAAATACTGGCGAATCTTTCCACAGTGTGCTTACCACCACACGATGTTAAACACATATTATAAAGTGGATGTAATTGTAAACACACAGAGGGATATAATTACATGTAGCAGATTTAAGAGCTAATTCTTTGCTTTTTTTTTTTACTCTGCATTTTATCAACATAATTATTTTTTGACTGCAGACTAACACCCTGAAATTGACAAGCATCCATTATAGCAAGAATTTGTTCACCAAATTGAGAGACAATGAACTGCAAGTTTACATTGAAGGAGCTTAGGATATTTCACCCCAAAATATGACTCCTTGGTATTTTGAATTAAGGCCCTTCCAGTTAAAAAGGCATTGTGAGAGGCTTTCACTCTATCTGCATAAACCAGACTGACCTGATCAAAAGATCAAAGGGGCAATTGACTCTTCCCTTCCTCTCCCTGTTATTTCGTTATATTGCCAGAAAACAAAACAAAACAACAACAAGGAAAGATCAAGAATGCAACCAGATCTCGCCCAAATCATTTAAATATGGTGCCTGTCCCTCAGGTTAATTTAATTTGCAATGAGAATCATTTACAAGTCAATCTGTTTCCCCCATCCATTTGTCCTCCTTAGCACCATTTGTCACCTCTAAACAGAATTACCTGTATTCCTTATTTCCCAACTCCTCTATAAATATATCTGGATCCCAATGGGATATTGGGTAATTGCTTTATGATTCTACCCATGTGCATAGTAAATAAACCTTTCTCTTATTAATCTGCCTTAATTGTGAATTGATCTTTCAGGGAACTTTCAGGGGAAAGGGCAAGTTTCCCCTCACCCCTACAATGTACCCATTGTCATAAAGAATTAGTATAGCTTTGTTCTGCAAGAGGAAAAAGCTAATGATTTTGAAACAGCAGGTGACAAAACAGATTCTTTTTTTCTGCCCCTGTTATCAGTTTTTGGATGAAGCCATTATGAACTGGGGCTGGGATAGAGATGGCCTTATTTTTAGCAGAGACTTTTAATGAGCTCCATTGTAAAGATAGTCATGTTGATTTGCTTGCATTTTTTTTTTTTTCCTTTGCTTAGAAACTCCCAGTATTGAAAAGCTACTCTCAAAGGACTGGAAAGACAAGCTTCTTGCAATGGGATCAGGGAACTTTGGCGAAATAAAAGGTAATGTGCATGTGATTATTTTTATCCAAAATGTACCAAAATGAAGTTGGTATTTAGGAACATTAATGGTGATAATGTACTTCTGCTCCCAACCCATCCTGCTTCATGCACTCTCTGTGTTGGGTATTTCTTCTTTCAATAGGTACCAGAGTTTTTATTTTCTCTCTTTGTGCCTTATTGGATAAATGGTTTGTTATTTTTAACAGAAAAAAACCCACTGTGTCTTTAACAGGCTTTGGTTTTCATCTTTCATTTAATTTAAATAATTTATTTCATAAGTAGGAATGAACCTATAGCAAAGTTAAAAATTGCATCTTTATAAGATAATTTTATATATTCTCCATATTGGAAATATGGAGGTATATATTCAACATTTAAAACCAGAAATGATGAATCAGGAAGGTATAAAAAAGGTTGTTTTGTACAAGTAAGGGCAGTGTTTTCTCATTGTTTGAATCAGCTATTATATCCAACTAAGAAAAATTCTGTATAAAGTACAGAAGATACTGAATATTCATATCTGAATACACTGCTACTAATTAATAACAAGGGGAAAAGATTTAAATTTCCTTATATAAAAATATAAGCAAATGATCCTTTCAATTAAAAATGTGTTTTCCTCAAAACATGGTGGGTTTTGAGAAAACCCAAATCTATGGTTTTCTATGTGTTGCCAATAGGACACTTGGGATTCTGAGTTCTAAGGTGGGATTAATTTTGAGAAACTCAAGATACTTTGTCATCAATATTAAAATATTTAGTTATTAATATATATTATTGCATATACTTTTGGTAGGGACTGAATATGTATTTAAACATTACCAGATATATATTAATATACATGTGGAAATATGTGTATAAGTAACTTTTTCGCATGTGCATGTCTGTGCAAGAGTTCTCCCAGTAAGAGGGGCAACTGACTCTCTTGTCTCTACTCCATCATTGTGTCCTGTAGAAGGGCAAAGTATCAGTCTTATCAACCGTTAGGCCTATATAACATTAACATCTGAATACTCAGAAACTTCCAGAAAATGTTTGATGGAATATTTCACTTTTCATGCAGATAATTTGAAATTACATATATTCAGACTATGATTAATTGTGAATGGATGATGAGAGAATGAATGAGTGCTAATCAACAAATTTGGTAAGGAAAATCTATAATGGAATCAGAGGAATAATTAATGTGCCTTAAAGAGCTTAAAGACAAAGTTTAAGGAGAACTGAGAAGTTTCATTTTCAGAGACAGTAAGTCCTTTACATTATTTTGAAGGATTTTAACCCATTTTGCACCTGAGGTCTAGGATGTATTCTCCAAGGTTCTTTACCACTCACCTAGGTAATAACTTAGAGCAGAGCAGAAAAGGCTGCCTTTTCCAAGCCTGTGATCTCATTCCATTGGAAGGCAAATATTTTTTCCCCTCCCTTGTTTTCCTTCACAAGTCAAACCTAAAAGCAGCAACAGCACTGATAACAAGCTTAGAGGAAAGCTCAGCTGTCCTTTCAGGCTTGCCTGGGGGGGTTAGTTTAGGAAGCTACAGTACAATCACAAAAGAAGTTTCTGTCTTTAATTTTGAGTTTTTTAAGCTTCACATTCAGATCACAAGTTTGGTTATTGTTCTCTGCTTCTGTTCAAAAAACTGTTTTCTGATGCATTTTAAAAGCGACTGTAGGTCTTTCTTCTGTTTGGGACATGGTTATTAGGTGCTCAGCTCAGGTTTGGCAGTAAACTGGAAAAATAGCACTGGGTTACTTTTCCTTCTGACTGCCCATGACAGTTGCAATTACTATCCATTGTTCATAGGTGGCTAGAAAATGGAGAGTATACAATAGTGTATTGCCCTCTGGGTGTAAATGAATTTGACTTAAAGGTTCTTGGGGGGTCAGGCACGAAGATTATGTAGTGCCCAGGAATGTAGTTTTCATGCCACTTCAGAAGTTAGACAAGAACAATGGTTTAGTTGTTTGGGTAGCTACTTTTTATGAGGCAAGTAGAGGTGTAAGTCTTTGGTACTCGAATACTGTTTTTTGTTGGGAGAGAGAAGCGTAAGTCTGAGCTTTTTTTTAAATCTGAAAATATTTATTTATTGCTTTATTAGATGATCTATTAATAATAATTCAAGATAATGACTTTGAAGAGAACCTTTGCGTATGTTAGGATGTTTATTTACAGGGTCTTAGTTGTGGATTGAAACTTTTCTCCACTATTTACAGTGGTCAGTTTTCATTTAAATTTTAATTAGTTACGGAAATGTGTGAATGAGTGAGTATGTGTGTTATGTGTGTGCACTGGTGACCTCTTTTGAATACTTTAGACCAGGGGTCCTCGAACTTTTTAAACAGGGGGCCAGTTCACTGCCCCTCAGACGGTTGGAGGGCCGTTGGAGAGTGCGGCGCACATTCCACACATGTGCACCGTGAGTCAGCTGCTAAGTAGGACAGGCAGTGGCGGCAAAATCACCTGGCGGCCCCGCCTGGTAAATGTCCTCAGCGGGCCACACGTGGCCCAGGGGCCTTAGTTTGAGGACGCCTGCTTTAGACTATAGCCAAGTGAGAACTGAGCTTAGTTCTCAAGTTCTAGTTTTAAGTTGCTATCAGTGAATTACTTTCAGGGCATTTGGAAAAATATTAGAATCACAGCTAGGAGAAGTTTAGAGAAGTGTTTCTTACTAAAAATATTTTACAAGTAAATGACAAACTTTTTTAAATAGGAGAAATAAATAGCATTTGATTTGGATAGTTTAGCTATCAATAAATAGTTGTCATACCCACTTAAAGTCAATCTCATTTTTCAAGAAACAAAGTGAGTTAAGAAAGGTCACCCTCTTCTAAGAACATAAAATTATTTTTCATGTTATTTTACCTGATAGAATTTATGCCATTTTATGCTGTGGTACTTTGGAAATGTGAAGTAATTATGTTTTAAAGTTACATTAGAAACAATCCTCTAAAAAACACATAAAAAGGACACTAGATCTGATTTTGCAGAACAAAACAGTTTGACTAAAAATCTCTGCCAAAAGCCATCAGTATATATTATAAACTGATTAGATGCCTGATGGAATTATTTTGTTTCTGCTTTCCTAATCGGCCATATAGTGTAACTGGCCAGTTTACAGAGTTTTTTGCCCTTATCTGTAGCAGAAGCACTGAGTAACAGTGGTGTGAATGGTGAAGAAATGTCTTTTGTAGTCTCATAGTTATTGAGAAGAGGGGAAAACAGTGCTTGCACTCCAGTTAGCAATGAATAGTGTCACAGGCTGTTTCTGCTAGCATGAAATTCCATCACACTGAGGGTCATTGCATTGGCACCTCACCTGAGGACAGTATCTGGGGATCTGTGGTGGCTTTAACTAATCTAAACAGATCATTTGTTTTTCAACAAAGTAATTGCAAGATCTGTATTTTGCTGACTTAATGTTTATTTATAGAATTATAACACAAATATCTGCGTGCAAAATACTCTCAATTATTTCTATCTTGGTGAGGTTATAAAAGCAGGGCAATGTTTGGAAGGTTCTCTAGCCAGGTCACTCAGAAAATTCTACATCAGTTTCTCCACTTGCCTTATTTGAAGAACTTTTTAGAGCCTAGTTTGCTTCTCCTTGGTATCCCTGATGGACGCTCTGACCCTGGTCACAGTGCATTAATTTAAGTCCACAAAGTGTTGAATCTGAAGTTAAGGGAAGTGCCAGCTGCATTTCCTATAATAAAAAAATTATCTCTTTTTGAACGCTATTAATTTTGCTTTTTCTGAAGATAGGACATAAAGGCAAACACCTATAGAACTGCCAATAAAGGATTCAAGGGAATGATCCATTCAGCAATACCATAGTCTTTTAGAGCTCATGAATTAAAGACATATTAATTCTGGATTCTTGAGTGAGGCCATTGACTGAATCCAAATTTTATAGAACAAATCCTTTTAATAAAAGGAAGTTTGGATTCTGCAAAGTTTGGACTCTGTCGAGGGGCCACACTTGGGGATCTGGGGGGCCACGTGTGGCCTTGAGGCCACAGTTTTCCCCACCCCTGGCAGAGGACATGTAAAATATTGAGATTAAAGAGACATGTAGATTCAGTATGTGGCTTGACAGAATTAATTCTGTTTAAATAACATTAGCTGATTTGAAAATAAGCGGGTTTGGAATAGGAATCAGAACCCAGGTAAAAAATCTAGTAAGTGATCCTTGGAGTTTTATAAATTTAAAACTTGGAAACTAATATTTTAGCATTTCTATACGTCTTGTCTATATCCCTTTGATGGTTGTTTTAAACCCATTCTTTTAAAATACAGTAACAAGGTAAAAGTCACATTGTTTGCTAATAGTAATCTTGTGGCTATTACATTTGCACATTAACCTAAAACATGTATGTCTGCACATTTTTACAAAGGGGGTGGAAATGTTGATTATTTTCTGAGATAACTGTTGGATCTGGAATTTGTTCAATACAAGAGTCAGCCATAAGGAAGGTACATAACATGTAGTCATTTACTTCTAAATAGAGTAAATGTTTAATGTTTTTAATCTCCACTAAGCTTGTTTTATAGTTCCTCTATAGTTGCTTATGAGTAATGTTTTCACTTTTTGTAAAAACTACTTCATAAGAACTAAAGAAAGACTGCTGGCACACAGAATATAAGTTTTCAAAATAAGTTTGGCAATGCCTATAAAAACAAAAAGTGACTACATTTTCTGTAAACCAGTGACTTGCTCTGTCTCAGAATGCCGGCGCCCTCATGCCAGTACATAAACATGGCTAGTGATGGGAAGAGAACGACCAGCCACTAAGTCACAGCTGATTCCTGGATATTGGTGGTCCAGTCCACCACGTAGGAAGATTTACATACTTTGTACTTGTTAAGTACAAAGCAGGCATTCAATAATGTGTGTTTTAAACGTAATGTGAAACACTCAACTCTTACATATTTAATCTGCATTTTATACCTGAAAAAATCCTCTCCTCGACATTTTTCTAATTTAAAAATTCATTCATTC